CTGGTCAAAAAAAAAAAAAAAAAAAATATATATATATATATATATATATATCTTTCTCTTAGAGGATGGATAAGAAATTATTAGCAGTGGTTCTGTCTATGGTAGGAGGAAAACTTTCCACTTTGAAGCACATATACCCATTTCAAAATAAATAATAAAAACGAGGCCTCTTTCCTCACTGAGGAGGGCCCTCCCAGCAAGCAGCATGGACAAACCAACTGCCAGGAAGATCCCTGCTGGGCACAGGACCCTGTGGCTTCTGCTCCGTCACTCCTCAACTCCTCAGAAGGCCACAGAGGTGTGCTCATATCCCCCCTTTTCAGACAGGAGAACTGGGCCTCCAAGAACAGGAGGCACTTGCCAAGGGACTACCCAGCAGATAAGCAGGAGTGGGATGAATGGGGGGACCCTGGCACCAGACTGTAGCCCAGTGGGCGCTGGCCTCTCCACTGGGCTTCCCCAAACCCTAGGAATGCACTGTGGGGCCTGTGGAGCTGGGAGTGGGGATGGTGGGAAGAGAACGTGGCCCTCTCTAGGCCTCAGTGCCCATCAGTCCTCTGAGGTCCTGGCATTGTTCCCTGAGCCCTCCTTGTCCCCTATAAGGGTCCAGGTTAACAGAGAGTTAATGCCCAACTGCCCAGCAGAGGCCTCTTGCTCAAGTCCAGTAATAAAACCTGCCCTATGGAGCCACAGGCTGGGGTGGGGGAGAGATAAGGACTATTCCCAAGGCAAGGACACAGCACATGATGCCTAGGGGCCTCCAAGTTCCCAGGTGGAGATCAGGGGGCCTCCCTTAGGCCAGAGAGATGTGGAAGGAATCAATTCCACCTCCAGCTCCCCCTCTTCCAGGAAGCCCCCAGGCCTGCCAGCCCTGGGGGCTTTTCCTTTAGCATTTAGCAGGTCATGGAGACTAAGATCACATCTTGGGACTCACACATCTTCTCAGAGTCACAGAGGTGCTCACCCCATGCAGTCTCCCTGCTATGCCTGAGAGAAGGCTAGACCAGACAGGGTCAGGGACTCTCCTGAGACCCTGGCCTCCCACCTCCCAGACCAGGGCTCTAGCCTCAGCTCAGCATCAGGGAGTCCTGGGTCCCCACCAGCTCTGCCATCTATTCTCTGCAGGAACCAGGGACGACAATTCTTGGTCTTTAGGACCACCCAGTGAGGGGCTGCTAGGTGTCTTCGGGGGGCCCTCCCCCATTCTGGGGTACCTGTGGCTGATTGGTGGCCCTGGGGTGCTGTCCCTCAGGCTCCTGGGGGCAGGCCAGCTGGAGGCAGGCAAGCCCAGGGCAGGCAGGCAGGGACAGAGCGTCCACTGGCCCACACTGTGAGCCGGCTGTGGTAATCTGAGGAAATCCTCAGTGCGTGGGGCTGTGCCCAGGGTAACCCAATCCACGAAGTGACCAGGGTTGCCATGGCTGGGGACGGGTATGGTTTCTGGGGGGGACAATGGCTTAGTTGCTTCTTCAGAACCCTGCTCTAATCCTACCTCATCCACCAGGTCACAGAATCATGGACTCAGCAAGTCAAGGGAACCTCTTTGAACCCTGTGATTCTTGGGCAGGGATCCCCAGACCAACGGACCTCAGACTCTTGGGCCCACAAGACTCTCCAGACTACCCATGCTGGGGCCCTTCCAGGCACCATGGCTTGGTTTCCCAGCCAGGGGTCCCGGACAAGAGGACAACTCAAGCCTCATCTCAGCTCCTTTCCCTGTCCCTCCACAGGGGACGGCCCCGCCCTCTCTCCCTCACCCAGAAAAGGGGTCAGAAAGGTTACTGGCGAGAGCTTCTAATGAGGCAAATGGTGCAGATTTGGGAGCTTTCTGGAGAACCGCAAACCTCTGGAATTATTTTCTGTGACCTCCTAGTCAGCCTACTCGAGGACTAGCGTCTAGGCTGATCTCTCTGCTAGCTGCCGGTATAACCCCACTCCCCAATTTTACAGGCAAGATTCGCTGTTCCCAGACTGTCTGAAGTTTTTTCCCTCCCCTCCCTCTGTCAATTGCCATTTTTGCCTCTGTTCCTTGATTCACCCACCAACTGACGCCCTCACAGGTGAGGAACCGATGCGCCTGCAAAATCACTGAACGGCACTCTGCATGCCTCTGAGCTATTCTCAGTCACTGTGCGGTGGGGTCCCTAGTGGGGACCCCCATCTTCTTCAGCTCCTCCCTGGGAAGGGGGCCCTGAGCTTCCTTCTGGCAGGAGAATGGGTCTCAGGTTCAACCTCAGCACGGAACAATGTTGGAGCGTCAGCTCTGGCAGTGGCCTCGCTGGGCAGGCAGGTGGACAGGTAGGCTCCCTCCCTCACCTAAGTGTCAGACTGCCCAGGCCTGGGTGAGTGGCCACATAGAGCCCAGGACCCACCTGTGGCCACTTGCCCTCCAGGTAGAGGAGCAAGGAGGGAGCCACCAAGAAGTGGGGAGCAGACAGCAGTGGGTCCCTCTGAGGTACAGTGAGGTATCTCTGCCCTGGCCGAGCTCTAGCTGCACCCCCCTGGCTGGGTGACGCTGATCATGTCTGGAGGTGCTATCCGTGCCCTGCCCCAAGTAAGAGACAGAGTGACAGGGGCTTTGTCAGTGCTGAATGCCTCCCTGCAAAAGCTGCTTACTGTGCCTACTCAATGAACGTGAAGGACCCTGACACAATCTCTCCTTGGGAGCCTGAAGCCACAGAGGGATCCAGAGTGGGGAAGGTGGCCTAGGGCCTCTCTGGCAGCTGAGGGGCCATAATTCCAGAGCTTCTGAGGTGGACTGGCCGCTGGCCCCAAGAGCCCCTTGCTGTGATTCAACAGGGACATCACCTGGGGCTCCCTCAGACTCTTCCTGTTTTGTGCCCTGGTTCCCCTTCATGGTCCTGACAAAATGAGTGGTTCTGTGCCGCTCACTGGCCTGGCAGGGCCCTGCCTCGAGGTGCTACCTCCCGTCCTTGGTTTCCTTTGCCTCTGAGCTGCTTGAGAGTGGAGCTGGGTCAGAGGCACGCTGTGACCCTAGCACACAGCTCTGGCCTGGCTAAACCTTGTAGGGCCTCAGTTTCCCGGTCTGTAAAATGAGGCTGTTGGAGCAGCAGTTCTCAGAGTGTGGACCAAAGACCCCTGAGGGTCTCCAAGACCCTTTCAGGAAGCCTGCAAAATCTTCTCTTTTCCAGCTACATATTTGTGAGGCCACATTTTCTTCATACCCTTCAAGCAAACTATCACATCAGACTGAATACAAAACAGATATGAGAATCCAGTTGTCTTCTCTTAAGCCAGACATTAAAGAGAGTTGCAAAGCTTGTAAAGCAATGCCACTCTTCTCAGTAATTGTTTTTATTTTGGCAAATATAGTTATTTTTCATAAAAATGTATTATTCATGTTATCCTGTACTGGATTTATTATGGTTGTTTTTACATAAATTAATAAATATTTTTAAACATCTCAGTTTTAATTTCTAATATGGAAAATATCAATGATATTACCCACATAAACAAAAGCTCTTTGGGTCCTCAATCATTTTTAAGAGCATAAAGCATTCCTGCAACCAACCAGTGTGAGAACCTCTAGACTAAATAATCTCCACCGGCCCTTCTCCTTCGGATATTCTCTGAGTCCACCCTCCTGGGATCAGCTCTGTCGTGGCTGAGTATGATGGTCTTTTTTTTTTTTTTTTTGTCCTCTTGAGTTTCAAGGTGAAGAGTGGTGTGTGTGTGTTGTGTGCGTGTGTGTGTTGTGTGCGTGTGTGTTTGTGTGTTGTGTGTGTGTGCGCGTGTGTGTTGTTTGTGTGTGTGCGTGTGTTATTTTTCATAAAAATGTATTATTCATGTTATCCTGTACTGGATTTATTATGGTTGTTTTTACATAAATTAATAAATATTTTTAAACATCTCAGTTTTAATTTCTAATATGGAAAATATCAATGATATTACCCACATAAACAAAAGCTCTTTGGGTCCTCAATCATTTTTAAGAGCATAAAGCATTCCTGCAACCAACCAGTGTGAGAACCTCTAGACTAAATAATCTCCACCGGCCCTTCTCCTTCGGATATTCTCTGAGTCCACCCTCCTGGGATCAGCTCTGTCGTGGCTGAGTATGATGGTCTTTTTTTTTTTTTTTTTGTCCTCTTGAGTTTCAAGGTGAAGAGTGGTGTGTGTGTGTTGTGTGCGTGTGTGTGTTGTGTGCGTGTGTGTTTGTGTGTTGTGTGTGTGTGCGCGTGTGTGTTGTTTGTGTGTGTGCGTGTGTGTGTGCGTGTGTGTGTTGTGTGTAGTGTGTGTGTGTGTGTGTGTGTGTGTGGTGTGTGTGTTTGTGTGTGGTGTGTGTAGTGTGTGTGCGTGTGTGTGTGTGTGTACGCGCGACTGGTTCTAATATCAAGGTTTTGAGGGGTGGAGAAGCATGTTCCCTCCTCCGTCCCCTTCCTGAGGATACAGACTCCCTACTCTCGTGGCCTTGGACCCGGACCCACTGGCAGGCCCCAATCCCGTAAAAAACACCCACAGGGACAGCAGTTCCTGGGTTCCTGAGCAAAGCGCTAAGCTTCTCACCACCCCGCCCTGGCTTCTCAGTCGTTTCAAGGCCTAGGGAGGCACGTGAACCTGTAGTACAAACCGCCCACTTCCCCAACCACAGACCACACAAGCCATGCCCAAGAGAATGAGCCACAGGCCAAGCGGCTGCGGGTAGACGAGTTCCCACCCCTTGCCCCCGCGAGACCAGCTGCAGAGCTGGCAAAGTCTCAGGGGGCTGGACCCCTGGGAGGAGCGGGGTCGAGGCTGGAGGGGCGGGGCGGGGCGAGGCCTGGGTGTGGTGAGGCGTGGCCTGGGGCGTGGCTGGGTGGGCGTGGCCTGGGCGGGGACGTGAGGGGCCTGGGCGTGGTGGGGCGGGGCCCAGGGCGTGGCATGGAGCGGGGCATGGGCGTGGTGGAGGCCTGGGGCTTAGCGGGGCTCGGGGGCGAGGCATGGGGCGGGGCTGGGCGAGGCCTGGGGGTGGTGGGGCGGGGCCCAGGGCGTGGCATGGAGCGGGGCATGGGCGTGGTGGAGGCCTGGGGCTTAGCGGGGCTCGGGGGCGAGGCATGGGGCGGGGCTGGGCGAGGCCTGGGGGTGGTGGGGCGGGGCCCAGGGCGTGGCATGGAGCGGGGCATGGGCGTGGTGGAGGCCTGGGGCTTAGCGGGGCTCGGGGGCGAGGCATGGGGCGGGGCTGGGCGAGGCCTGGGTGTGGTGGGGCGTGGCCTAGGGCGTGGCCGGGGTGGGTGTGGCCTGGGCGGGGACGTGGAGGGGCCTGGGCGGGGCGGCACTCACGTAGATGAGGTGGTCCCGATAGCGGATGAGCAGGTTGCGCAGGATGCCCGCCTCATTGAGGTCCCCCAGGCGGATCATATCCTCGACGCCGTGGACCGAGGTGGGGTGCATGGGCTTGATGTGTGTGGCGTTCTGCGGGGAGATCCAGTGCTCCTGCGGGAGGCAGGGCGCCTAACGTCACCTCGCTCTGGGGCCCAGGCTGCGCGCGGCAGGGAAGGGGCCAGAGAAGGGGCCGGGAAGCGGTGGGAGCCCGCGGTCTGTACGACCCGGGTAAGGGCCTCGTCCTCTCGCGGCCACACACTATCAGTACTAACAGGCTCGAGACTTGGAGGATGGTACCTCCCTCCCTTCTTCCCCCCAAAGACGGCTTCTCCTCCTCTGAGGGGATTCTCTCTGCAGACCTAAGAAGCTGGCAGAATGAGGACTTTGGCCCTGTCTGGCGCCTGTCATTAAGGGGATCAGAGCCCCTCCAACCCCAGTCACTTTGCAGGATGGAGTGGAAAGTGTAATGATTGGAGTTACACAGGCCTGACTTCAAATCCAGACTACGGTAAACCCATACATAAAACGTAATTTCAGATAGAGCGAAGAATAAACCACAGGCATATGTGATGAAGAAGAGGGAGCTACTTTAGATAGGGTGGTCAGGGACCACCTCTCTGAGGGGATGACATCTGAGCTGAGACCTGAATGAAGAGGAGACCACTGTAAGATGTGGGGGGCAGGAATTCCAGGCCCAGGGAACAGCGAACACAATGTCTCTGAGGCTGGCGAAGACTTGGTACGTTCAAGGGAAATCCAGAAGGCAGGGCAGTGGCAGTGACATGGGGAGAGGTGGACCCCCTGGGGTATGTGTCATAGGGCTGATGACATATGTGGACTTTCAGTACTTGTGAGCTGAAGGAAACCGGGACATAGGTTGCCTTCCCGGCCCCCATTACTCTCCCCTGCAATATTCCCTGCTGCCTCGGGTTGGTTTACGGGGGTGCACCTGGGAAGAGCCTGGGAGCTTTCCAGAAGCTTGCAAAGCCTTGGTTTCCCCCCCCCCAGGGGGGCTCCAGCACCTTCTCCTCACAATCCCAGACTCTCAGCAAAGTGAGAGTCTGACCTGTGCTCTAGGGTGGAGCCACAGTCTGAGTGAGCCCCCACAGACCTCCCATTCCCAAATGCCAAGACCCGGGAGCCTCAGGACCAGACAGACACTTCGGGGGGGAAAGGGACCTCTCTGACACCTCCCAGCTCAAGCCTTCAGACTTGCTGAGTAGATATGAAGCACATGTCATGTCCTCCCACACTCGCTTGTCCCCCAGACCCCCTCTGGCATATCCAACCTGAACAGCTAGACGCTAGCAGGAGTCTGGGCATCTGTCATCCCATCCCCACCCCACCCCTGGTCCAACTGGTCACCCAGTCCTGCCTATTCAACCCCCTAAAGGACTATGGAGTGGGCAGTGCCCTCCCTGCCAGCCTCAAGCCCACACCCTGATCCAGACCACGTCTCTCACTGCCTGGCCCTGCCTCTTGCTGTCCCCCCACCTTACCTCCAGCTCTCCCCTTCAATCCCTCATCCACCTGGGAACTTCCTCAAGCACAAGTCTGACCCTGTCACTCTGGGGCTTTGAGCCCTTCCTTAACCCCCCGCCCCGCCCCGCCCCCATAATAAGCCTGGCATTCAAGGGCCAGCATGAGCTGGACACAGAGATTGATAGCCTTTGCTCCAGCCACCGCTGTACTTCCGAGCCACGGACGGTTGGTCTCTGTGTCCCCAAACTCCTGTGTGACTTCGCTCACACTCCTCCCTCTACCTTCTTTCCATTCAGCCTTTGAAGCTCATGAGGCTCAGATGTTCCCCACTTTCTAAAGCCTGCCCCGACAATGCTGCCCACGCCCCATGCTCCCCTGTACCACCCCGACCTCCACCTCAGGCCCTGGTGCATCATACAGGGTCAGGCACAAATGATGTAGCAGGGGGCCTTTGATGGGACAGATGGCTGATGGTGACTGCTGGGGACTGGGTCAGAATTAGAAGCAGAAGTCCCCTCCTCCAGCCCCTTCACTTCACATGAGAAAATGGGCTTGGAGCAGGGTGTAGCTAGCCCAAGACTCTCAGAGGGATCAGGGCAAGCCCACTCCAGTTTCCTGACATTCCACAGCCCCTCCTGGGCCAGGCACATTTTGATCCAGGTCAGATCCTCACGCAGCCCTCCCCAAGGCATGACAGGGCCAAGTGGTAAGGTCAAAGAATCTGCCTGGACTTTCCAATCCCGTGTGGAACATTCCTCTCTCCCAGGCACCCTATTTCTTGATAAAAGCTGATCCAGTTGGAAAATTCCCTCTGCCTGGTCCCCTCTCCCTGACTTGGTCCTAGGCCCGAGTGTGGGCCAGAGGGGAGAGGCCTCCTGAGCAAGCTGTCTGCCTTCCTCACTTGACCCCAACCTCTGGCCCCCAGAGTTCTTCCCTGTGACAGTTTAGCACAGATGTTAGGAGGTGGCTCAGCCACTACATGACCCTGGGGCCCTATACTTTACCTTCCTGTGCCTCCATGACTACATCTGTAAAATGGGAATGAGAATAACAATCCCTTCTTCCTGGGGACGTTGGGAGGTTTAATGGATACAGTAACAGCCAACCTTTGCTGGTAGCTTTCTCCTGCCAGCTCTACAAAGCCATGGTAAGCGCTGGTGCCTGGTACACACTCAACCAGTGCTGGGTATGATTGCTCTAACGTGTTTTTTTTTTTTACAAAGAAGATGCATGCTGTCATTTGTTCCTCATAACAGAGAATTACTGACCCTATTTTACAGTGACAAGTCAGACTCAAGAGGTACAGTGACTTGCCCAATTAAGAGGCAGAACTGAGATGGTCCCACCCTTTCCTGCATGGGAGGACTCCCGGTGGTGGCCAGCACCTTTTGGGTCAAGGTCCACAGCACCTATGGCCCGGGCCAAAGTGCAGCCAGGGCAATTGAGAGGCCTGGCCCTGAAGGAATGCCAGTGCGGGGGGTGGGGGGGGAGAATATGGCCAATTCCAGGGACTGGGGACCCATTTGGGAAAGAGCTGGCCTGGGATTGAGCTCAGAGGGACAGGGACAATGTGCTCTGTGGAGGAGAGGAAGGAGGGGTACATCTGGACAAAGGCAGAGCATTAGGATTCCAGCGAGGACTGGAACCATCATTTTTCGTTCATTCATTCAGCAAGTCTTTCCTAAGAGCCTTCCCTGGACAGATGCTCTATTAAGTTCTGGGGAACCAGATGGGACTTGCCTGGTCCCTCCTTTCAAGTTGCTGGGAGTCTATAGGAGGACAGAGGGGTAAAGGATGACTACCTGGGGTTGGGGAGTGTGGATGGGAGAGGAGGGGATGGGAGTGAGAAGGGCTTGTGAAGGAGGGTGCCAGAAGCCCTGGGGCCCAGTGCGGCTGAAGAAAACCCCAGCCTCCCTCATCCCCCCATCAGCCAGTCATGCCCCTCCCCCTCCTGCAGCCCCCGCTCTCAGGGCCTTGGGGGGGCAGGGTGGGAGGGCACCCTTAGGATCCAGTATCACAGAGTTACGGGACACCATCTGACATGCAACATGACCCAGGTGAAACTCAAGCTTGCAGGCAGAGTCCCTGGTCCCCACCCTGGGGGCTCCAATTGGCCTGTCGTGTGCTGCCAGATGAGCCTGTGCCCCCCCCTTCTGTGGTTGCAGCCTCACAGTGGCTTCTTAGAGGGTCCTAAAAGTGCAGCCTCAGGAATGATGTTGCAGGACCTTGAGTTCTAAAGCCCAGGGGACAAAAGCATGCTTAGCATAACCTGAGGCCCAAAGTTGCTACTGAGAGGTTGACAGAGAAACTCATGCCTAGACGCCAGAGGTTCTGGGTTCTATTCCCAGAATTACCACTTGCTACCTGTGGACTAACCATGTGGTCCTGCTCTGTGCCTCAGTTTCCCCATGGGGTAACAGTTGTTGCCCTCCCTGCCTTTCACAGATACTGTGAGGATCCAAAGACAGACTTGGGTCAAAGGACTTTGTAAACCCTGAGGGGGGTACCCTCGAGGGCTTCAGGGCTATGGGTGGTACCCCTGCCCCCTCCATGTCTTGTACCAGGCCTCGAGGATCCTGAGCCTTCCCCTCACCCCCAACAGAGCCTTCTGTTCCAAGTCACCGCTCTTTCTCCTGACTCTCCCTCCCCTCTAGACTAGAAGGCTAAGACAGGGACTCTGCTTATCTCTATGTCCTCAGCACCAGCACGGAACTGGGCACAACCCAAATTATGGTGGAACTGAGTGTCCCAGGATCCTTCGTGTCCTTGTGCTCTGTACCACATCTACATGTCCCCAATGCCACACACACAAAAACACACACACACTGTACACATGCACACATGCTCAGAGGCCCCAGGGCTTCCCTGGGCCTTCATAGGGACCACCCACCTCCTCAGGGCGGGCCCCTGACTTCAGACCTTTCCTTCCCTCCCAAGGCCCCACTGTAACTACCTATCAAACTTACACTTCCTGTGTCCCTTTCCTTCTGGGCCACGAGATACAGTTAATCCGTTAGACCAATTCCCAGGACAGTATCTAAGTGGACAGATGAATTCATATGACGCTGTAACCCAATAGCTACTGTTATCCCCATTTTGCAGAAAAGGAAACTGAGCCTCGGGAGGGAAGGAGGCTTGGCCAAGGTTGCACAGCTAATAAGTGGGCGAGATGGGATTTGAATCCAGTCTGTCTGACCCCAAAGCACCCCTCTGCCTGATGAGCTTCCAGCCTGGTGTCACTCTCTGTGTGCACACACACGACACCCCCTAATATCAGGCAGAATGGACTTAAGCACTGTGGAAATAGAACAAGTAGCCTGGGGCAGAAGGGGAGCTTCCTCCTGCTGGGGCAGTGGAGAAAGCTCCATGGGTGAGGGGTGTCTGAGAGGCAGAAGCGAGGGCACGGGCACTGCCTGGCCCCTGCCTCACGGCACCTGTCAGCCTGGGTCCTCCCTAAGGCGCAGGGCAGGAGGGAGTGGGCTACTCACATTGCCTTCATCGTCCACCACCTGGATCTGCCCAGAGTCGCAGAGCTTCACCACCGCCCCGATGGGCACATCAAACTCCTGCCCGGATCTCAGGTCCATCCACACATAGTCCCCCTGTGAGCAACAGAGAGTCTCAGCCAGGTGAGCAGGGAGGGTGATCGGGCACTCCTTCCAGGCAGCCCTATTCCCCGCCCCCCTCCCACCACCACCGCTGGAGGCTCTGGTGCCAACCACAGAAGAGGGAAGAAAAGGGAACGGCACTCCCTGGGCGCCTTTGGTGCCAGGCCCTAGGCTGGGCACTTATGTCATCGGTCCCCTCTGTAGCAGCCACTGCCCTCCCATTTTACAGATGAGTAAACAGAGGCTCAGAGAGGGGAAGAGCCCACACCACACTGCTGGGCAGCTTCAAACTCAAGACTGTCCACGGCCCTGCTCTCCCCGTCTCTACACCCTACACGAGTATAACAGACTCACCGGGGTTTCAGGCAGAAACACTGACACACCCAAACCATTTCCTCTCTGAGGATTAAATGGGGCAGTTTTTGGAGCAGCCATGGAGCCCCAGGCCCACAGTGGACACTCAGTAAACATGCGTTCTCCTCCCCTCCCGAGCTTCGCCAATTGTTCTTGCTTTTTCTGGAAAAAAGCTTGAGTTTGGGACTAGCCTGTCTGTAACAGGCACCAGCTTCATATGAACTGAGGCACCACAGAGGCAGCTGTGGCTGAAAAGTAGTTGGTTCTAAAGGAGGTGACACCAGAGGACACCCAGACTATGAGTGAACAGGGCAGCCTCCATCACCTCCAGGGTCAATTCTTATCATCGTTTCCTTACAGTGACACTGTTCTGTCCTGGGCCTGTGGTAAGAGTTCAGCCACAGTCTCCCCTCTCCTGGCTTGTGGGGACAGTCCCGACCTTGAGGGAGAAGTGTCACTTCTGTGTCCCCTGCAGCACCTGGCCCAGGGCCTGGCTCTCATTACACACACACTCAGTAAGGGCTCATGGAAGCCAAATCTAAAACTCAGCCAGAGAAATGGACTCAGAATACCCATGTTCAGCACTAATACAGTCAACAGACATGTATTGAGCACGTACTGAGTACAGGGCACTGATTGATCTAAATTGCTGGGGATAGAGCAGTGACCACAGAGCCTACCTTCTAGTTGGAGGAAACAAAAAGTAAACAACTGAGCAAATATATTAATGTGATCACTTTGGATGTCAGTGAGTGCTATGGAGGGAACAAACATGCCAATGGTGGATAGGAACAAAACCAGCCATCCTTAAGCTCGGTAGCCAGGGAAGCCATCTGTGGAGGACATCTCTGAGCTGAGACCTGCGGGTGAGACGCAGCCAGCCAAGGCAAGAGCAGGGACAGCAATCTGGGCAGAGGGAGTGGCAAGTGCAAAGGCCCTGAGGCAGGAAGGAGCAGCAAGGAGGCAGCTGCTGCGGCAAAACTTGGTGAGGGAGAGGGAGGTCAGAGAGGTGGGCAGGGTCCAGGACATGTACGCCCTTGTTGGCTGGAGGGTAACAGTTTAGATTTTATTCTAATCGTAACAAAAGTATTCTTTTGGGAGGTGGTTCCCAAACTCTCCAGGAGTGTGGGAGAACTTAGACAACCTTATAAAAATATAACATACTATCAAGTGGCCCTTAGAAACATCACAGCTGATAAAACTGATTCACAACGAAGTAAACCTGTAGGACTGGCCCAGCAGGAGTAGCTCTGGCCTGTGAGTCAGGAGGCGGGGTCCCAGGCGCTACTTGGCCTTGGATGAGCCACGGACCGCTTTGAGCCTCAGTTTCCACCCCACTCATCACTGTTTGGGCCTCCCCCTGTTCCCCTCGGACCAACTGCTTTTCAGCCATGACTGTCACTGTGGGCCCTTGCTTTACATGAATGGGAGGCTGGCACATGTAGGCTACAGGTTAGTCCCAAACCCAAGCTTCCTCCCAGAAAAAGTAAGAAAAACTGGAGAGGCTTGGGAGAGGAGGAGAACTCATGTTTACTGAGCGTCCTCTGTGGGCCAGGGGCTCCACGGCTGCTTCCCATAAATTGCCTGAGACCCAGACCCAAGCTGCACATCCTGCCACATGCTTCACCCACTCTAAGTGCCAGCCCATGGTCACCTGCTCCCCCTACCTTTCCACCGAATGGGTGCCCACCACTCTACGGAGACCCAGAGCAAATATCAGCAGCTCTCCCCTGGCCACTCCCTGCCTCCCCACCCTCCTCCTCCTCCTCAACCCCTGCCAGAGTTTATTCATTCATTATTTGTAGAGAGCCTGCTGTGGCTGGTGCTGTTCCCAACTCTGGGGACTGAGCATGTACAAAGGGACAGCCAGAGTGCCCAGAGCAGTGAGGGCAGCCTGAGGCTGCAGACCAGGTCACACAGAGCCTTGCAAGCCACAGGCCAGACTTGGATTTTCTTGTAAGGGTGGCGCAAAGCCACTGGAGGATGGCATGATGGATTTCCATTTTCAAAATTTCACTCTGGGGCCGGCCCATGGCTCACTCGGTAGAGTGCGGTGCTGATGACACCAAGGCCACGGGTTCGGATCCCATATAGGGATGGCCGGTTTGCTCACTGGCTGAGCGTGGTGCTGACAACACCAAGTCAAGGGTTAAGATCCTCTTACTGGTCATCTTTAAAAAAAAAAGACAAAATTTCACTCTGGCTGCTCTGTGGAGAATGGAGTCATCCCTCCACAGCCCTGGGCCTCCCCTGACAGCGAGCACCACCTGGGTCTGCTCCCTTCCCGCTTGCCTGCATCTCCCCGAGGCCAGGGCTGGGTCCCAGTCTCTCCTTTGTGGCTCCCCAGAGCCAAGCACAGAGGGTGAGAGAGAAGGGGGCCCGGAGTGGGGGTGGCTGAACATGTGAGAGAGAGCAAGCGTGTGCCCGGTGGCGAGTTAGAGGTTCCCCTGTGATAACCACCTCAGGGAACCTCAAGACAAACCCTTACACAGAGGATTCTGTCTCCACCTCATCTCCTCAGAGAGGTCAAGAAACGTGCCACAGCTGCTTTGTGGTGGAGCCAGGACTAAGCCCAGGCCTGACAAACTCCAGTGCTCTTTCCCGACATGCCCTGGGCCCAGCCCCAAACCCAGCTCGGGGAGCAAAACAGGAAGCACCAACAGGGTCCCTGGCCCTAGATAGCCTGTAGGCCCAAAAGGCAGGCTGGAAACTTCACTGAGTGCAGCTGGAAGGCAGGGGTCTCTCTCAGGCACCTGTATCCCTCGGCCCAGCACAGGGCCTGGCACACAGAAAGTATTTGTTTCCCACTGGAAGAACAGAATAACCAAAATAAAAAGCTTCATTGAGCAGGAAGTGGAGGCTCAGAGAGGCTGGGTGAGGTGCTCAAGCCCACACAGAAAGCAGAAGTGACAAGAACAATTCTAGCTAGGGCTGTCCCCAGGAGGGCAGTGACTTAACTATCTCTGCTCCAGGTCAGAGCTTGAGGAAAGAGTTTCAAATGGCAGCTAAGAGGCTTCAGGGAGAATTCTGGGGCCTGAGAACCTCCGAGGGGGAACGTTCTGGTGGCCCCGGGGAAAGTCCATGGAGCAGAATGCAGCCAGGAAGTAAGAGTCTTCATTTTACAGATGGGAAACTGAGGCCCAAGAGAGAAAGGAACTTGGCCACAGTCACTCATCAGATCAGTCACTAATAACACTGTTAGCATTTGAAGAATAGAGCCGGAACCAAAAATAGGGTGGGTCAGGAGTCACTGGCTGGGTAAGGGAAGGAAGGAAGGAAGGCAGATGTGAAAGAAAGGACACTACCGAGGGGCAGGAGTGGGGAGGTGAGGAAGGGAGAACTGGGCTCCAGGTCTAATCCCACCAGCTCTGTCGCCAGTCCCCAGGCAGCCCATGAGTGCATCTGGCCCCACTCCTACCACCACCGCTAGGTGACCACTTTGAGGGGCACTGTGAGGGGCACCCCACCAGAGATCTCACCTTGAATCCAAGATTTGTGACATGACACCTGCCTCAGTGTAGCTGTGTAAGTTGGGGCAAGTTCCAACTTTGCTGTCAAATGAGTGGCCGGAGCAGAGGGTGTCCCAGGCCCCCCTCAGCTCTGCGGGCTGCCAGCCTCAGAGTGGTGACTTCCTACAATGGGTCTGTCCAGATGGTCTCAAGGATACCCCCAAACCCCAGTAAAGCCAGCACACATCACAGAGAACATGTAGTCAAGAGATCTGAATTCTAGTTCCAGTTCTGCCACTACTACTGTGTGACTTCGGGTAAATCACTCAATCTCTCTGAGCCTCAGTCTTCTCAGTCTTAAAATAGGAGTCAGTGCCTGTGAAGATGAGAGGGCCGTGCAAATGCATGTTGTCCTTGATGTCTACCCTGCTTCCTCCCAGGCATCAAGTCCTCTCAGATCAATATCAGTCCCCCCAGGGCCTTAGTTCTTTCTGCCTCTTCTCTCCTCCTGCCCCGCAGGCCTGGGGCTCACTCCCTATTTGTAGAATGAAGAGTCTGTTTCAGAACACTTCCCCTCATTTATCTTGGAAATCACTCTGAGACACTGGTTTTATCAGCCCATTCTCACAGGTGGAAAAGATGAGCCAAGTGTCTTGCCAGAGGCTCCTGCTAGCAGGAGCTGTGTCCCGCTGCTACCGTGGGTGGTAGAGGAGACGGGCCGTGCTTTCCTGCAGCCAGCGGGTCAGGCAGTGTGCAAACGCTGGCCGATGCCCCTCTGTGCACCTGCAGGCGCTCGCTGCTCTGGGTCCCAGCAAAGGAGGGAAGTCCCTCCTCGGACCGGGCCCACTTGGCTTGGGTTTTCCAGATGCAAAACCCTCCCCCAAAGGAGGGGCAGCCTGGGGCAAGCTCACGCTGGCAGTCAGGGACTGCACGTCCGCGCACCTTGGGCTTCGGGACCCTGCGGCCTACCGGGCTTGTGACAGGCGGGGAAACTGAGGCCCGGGACTGGATCCCCGGGGCGCGCCCTCCCCCTCCCCCTCCCGGTGCAGGCCTCACCGGCATGACCGCGTAGGTCTTGAACGCCTGGTTCAGGCTGCGCACCAGCGCCCACTTGCCGGGCTGCTGGGCGCGCGCCTCGGCGGGGTCGGCGGGGTCTGCCGGGTGCTCCATGGCGCGGACGGTCTGGCGACA